TTCCATAACTTGGGGGCTGTGGCCATGAATGATCTTTGGGAAGTAGAATTCGATCTGGTTTTGTTGGCAGATTTCTTCAGAGGGGGGTGGCCATTGCCATCCTCTGGGGCTGAGAGAGTGTGACTTGTCCGTTACCCAGTGGGCTGAATGGTGAAGGCGGCCAGGTCTTGTCACTGGCTTTTCTGGCACAGGTGCTCTAGGGAGGGTTCATAGGTGCTCCGAGTAATGTTTGAGTGGAAAGCACAGTCACCACAATGACTGCATCCATGGACTCCCAGATCAGGTTTCCAAGGAAGGGAAGTCTGGTTTACAGATGAATGGATTCAGTCAAGGAGGCCACAGTGGCCCTGTGTCAGTCAGCTTATGGATATCCTAAGACAAACCTGTCATGGGATTTTCCTGGCATGTTTCTACAAGAGGGGGTTTGCCATTGTCATCCTCTGAGGCTGAGAAAGTGTGACCTACCCAAGGTCTCCTGCAGGGTTTCCATGGCTCAGTAGGGATTCGAACCCTGGTCTCCCAGTGTCCTAGTCTAATGCTCAAACCCCTACGCCAGTGATTCTCAAATGATGAGGTGGGACCCCCAGGGGACAGTGCAAGAGTTGCTCAAGGGGGAATTTCAGGGTCTTAAGGGCCATCCAGTCCAAACCCATTCTGCTATGCAGGAATACACAGTCAAATCACTCCTGACAGATGGCAATCCAGCCTCTGTTTAAAAACCTCCAAAGAAGGAGACTTACCACTTTTTAAGGCAGCGTATCCCACTGTCAAACAACTCTTGGTGTGAGACTTGGAGGCCCTGATTGTTCCTTCTCCTCTTCTTCATCTGTTTTTTTAATATGTGTAAAAACTACACATGCGTTGAGTTAAATGTTGAATGTACTTAAATAAAACTGTTCTAACTTGAATGATGTTATTGCCTTATAAAATATTAAAATTGTTACATGAATGTGTAAAGGAAAATATGCATACTAAATAAAAATAATAATTCTATCCTATGTGGGGGGGGGGG